ATATAATATAGAGCAACAATGGCCTCGGTAGCACTAGGATACTCATCATTGTACTAAAATTTACATTATCTTAGTTTAGATTTAAGATTTGCATTTATTTCTTGATTATCTTCTTATTAAAAAATTATTTTTTAAAAAAAAAAAATTTAAATTTAAATCTTAGTTATTATATTAAATTTTAAACTGATTTGATAAGAATAAAGTGCTAATTATTGTGATCCGCACTCAAAATGATTCGAGTGGGGTCCCAAATTCGAAATGATTAGAGTGCGGTTTCAAATCCGAAGGGCCACGCCAGCGACGGAATTAATCATGCAACATTGCAGCCTATTATTGCTGTAAAACGACAAAACTTATTATGTGAGTACAAATTGTTTTTGTTTTTTAAGGTAACGTGATGCGAAATTGTGATTTTCAAAAATAAAATAAAATTCAAATGTACAGTTGAGAGCTTAAGATGGTAACATTTTCATTTTTTTTCCTTCATTTTTTTGTTTCGTAATGTAAAGTAAAAGAAAATTGTTTCTCATTATTTAAATTTTTGTTTAAAAATTGTGATTTATTGATAAATTTAAACAGAGTTTAGGACAATATGAGTATCAACAATCTTAAGACATTATAAAAATACGTGGCACAGATTTCATGGTCCACATAATCTGATGTCCAATGAGTGGGGAAGACCACGAGAACAACGTTGTTTGTCGTTGTACTCCTTTGTGTTTTTTTTTCCAAGGAAAAAAAAGTTTAACCTCACCAAGCCTCCAAATTTAGAAAGCGCTTACAGAAGTACTTACAAATCGCCACCAACAATGTCCTCACATCGACAACGGGATTCGAACTCATAACCTTGTGGGTTATGAGACAAAGTAATAAATATCTAGACAAACTCAAAAATAAAGCTTATATTTGGATTAGACCTATTTCCAAAAATGAAACCATATATAGGACCGGAGGGAGTATTTATTAATTATAGCAGGAAATTTTGTTTCTTTTAATTTGTTATTTATACATTTTTAGTGCTTCGTATCTAATTTTGTTCCTATTGATTATAATAAAAATTAATTAACTCAGATAGTGGTTTTTTTTTTTAATATCCATCTCAATAATAGGGATAAAAGTGAAATATTTTATTTATTTATTTATTTTTTGGTATGTGAAAAACTCATATAAGTGACAAATAAAAAAGAGTCAAGTGGCATCACATAAAGATGTTAATTATAAAAATAAAATATTTCATCTATTTAATAATTTTTTTGTTATGGGAGAAACTCATACAAATAACAAATAATAAAAACTAAGAATAGCATGACATAAAGATGTTAACTGCAATTAAGGATGATGACTTTTTAACATACTACTCCTAAATATAAGACACCTTTCATAGTGTAAATTACACTATGAAAGGTGTCTTATATTTAGGACCGAAGGAGTACAAAAGAACCTAAGTCTCCAAGCGAATTTTTTAAAGAAGTTGAATGGACAGAAATTTAAATTTAAACCATAAAATATTAAAACACTTTTCTTAAATTTGTATGTCTCCATTATTATGAATGTTTTAACTTTTAAGTAAACACGAGAGGGAGTAATACATCAACCCGCGAAATCTCACATGTTTGCTATTCATTTATGTTCTTATTATAAGTTTTAAATAATTAAGTGATGGATAATGAATCATTGATAAAAATTAATTAAAAGCGATAAATGGGTTAAAAATATAATTTTATTTCTTAATATGCTTTTATAATAAATAAGAAAATGAATGAAAGGGAATATGTGGAGAAATATGATAAGAGAGAATAAATAATTAAAGGCAAAATAAAAAAAGTATTAAATGTTAAGACAAATCTCAAATTGAAATTTATAAAATAGATCACATCTCTTCTTAAATTTAAAACTTATAAATATGATTAGAAGGCAGTATTGTTCATGGAGAGTTGTAAAACCCAAAACCTTACAAGTCCCTTTTTTTTCTAGCTAAAAGGAAAAACAAAACCATTTTTTCAAAGGCAGGTTACCCGACGTGGGACCCACAGTATTCTCCCTCTAAATAATAAAGAAATAAAGTTTAATTTTGCCCTGAAAATATTCGTTCAGAAGTTGTGGGCATTTGAAAATTTTTTTAAGAACAATATTATCTCAAAAGTGTGAAAAACATAGCAACGTCATCCATCCAGTTTTAAAATGCTAATTTTGACGGTTAAATTTAACTGATATCTTGGGTGGCACACTACTATGTTCCCCCTAGTCGATTCCTTGCCTCTCTTCTGATGAACCGCCGTCGGTCCTCTCTAATATTCTTCTCACACACCCACACCATGCTTCCCTCCTCAGGCTTACCTATTAATCTCTCTCGCCCTTCTCACTTTTGATTGCTTAGAAGGAATGGCCAACGATGAACAGTAGAGGATCAGGATCTTCCATTTCGGCCGCGAGTGAAGGCATTAAATTTCTCTACTTCTATTACTTTGTGAGAAACTCACAACATCCTGAAACTCCATGTTTTTGCCCATTATTGAGAAATAAGAGCGGAGTTATCAGAAGTTCAAAACTTTAACATCATCAAATACGTAATCTCAGAATTTTTTTACGAGACTGGTTTTCAAAGAGCCATAGGCATTGGATTAGCTGCTAATGATAACATGCTTGTAATTCTTTTCCTGCCAAGACTCAAAGGATGAAATATGGGAAATAATCAGCTCGGTGAACAGCTATATCTAATGAACAAGGAAAGGAAATCAAACTGATTTTATATGCAGGGAATGGTTGATCTGTTTCAAATCTATTTTTATTTTTTCGTTTCAAAGCAGCCCCTTCCCCCACCTACCACCACAGTTACTGCCTTCCACTTCCATTCTTTCCATTTCAAATCTATTTTCAGGATTAATAGTTGCGGGGACAACATGTTATAGTACTCTCAGCATAGGCTAGTTGCTAAGCAGCCCAAGTGTTAAACACAGGTCTTAAACAAAACTCTTCTTTTCATCATAGTCCACGTCTTCCCTTTCATGTTGGTTTCATTTAAGAAACCGAGCCTACCGGTGGGGAGGGGAGAGCCAGTGGTGGAGGGGTGAGAGAGATTGATAGCTAAGCCTGAGGAGGGAAGCATGGCGTGGGTATGAAAAGATTCAAGAGTGAGAGACAACCCGCGGTGGTTCATCAGAAGAGGGGGGGAACACAAGGGATTAGGTGGAACTACTGCCACTGAAATTTAACAATAAAAATAAACACTTCAAACTGGGGGCAACGTTGCTATATTTTTTTATATTTTCAGAGTAACACTGTTGCCAAAGGAACTTTCAAATACATATACAAGCTCTCTGATTCTTAATATAAGATTTAGTTAACTAATCTAAGAAGATTAAAAAAATTAATTAAGTTAGTTATTTGTTATAAATATATGTTGTCTTTCCTAAAATATCCTTACTAATTATGTATATCAACCAGAATTACCATTTGATGAAATATTTAACATGTGTAACTATTACAAGGACTATTTTAGAAAAAATAAATAAATATGAAAGATAAAGTGAATTAAGATCTTATATTTAGGACCAAATTAAAAGTTAAACAAATTATTATAATAAAGAACAGAGTTAGTAGCTCTTAAGCGAATATTTTCAGGATAAAATTGGACCTTATCTCAATAATAAATTCTCCCCCTAATTAAGCTAAGCACTTGGTAAAGAAGGGTGAGAACAATTGAAATGGCACGATGATGGTATTCATGATGCATCATATAATATAATACTAATTAATTTTGAGAAATTTTAATTTTTATAAGTTAAACTACATGTAAATCAAATTTATAGATATTAAATATTTTAAAATCTATTAATAGTGAATGAAATTTAAAGAACCTACTTATACTTAATTTTTTAATGTGGACCTGACGGTAATTTTTCCTTTATTTAATGCCCAAATCGATGGGATACTCTTGTGGCCACGTTGCGCCTCTCATTGTGGGCTGGCATTACCTACTTGCCAAGCAAATTAAAGTCAGCATCCTGGGGACCTTCTTAGAGCTATTGACCCGACGATTTCGATGGTGGCTTTTGTAATTCTCTGTACATAATTGTTTAATATATCTCTTTTCACTCCAAAAAAAAAAAAGTTAGCATCCATACAAAGACGACAAAAACAGATTTTTTTTTTTTTCGTTCGAAAAGAAACTATCTACACGCTTCAGTAAAGGTAGCATGTTCTTCTAATCCTCTCAAGCTGTTTATCTTTGTATGCATGTCTTCATTTTAAGCTAAAATATACATTTAACCTTTTGTATTTATCTCCAGTTTCAGTTTAGTCATTTAAATTAAAAAAAAGTGTATTTTTAGTTTTTTAATTTTAATACTGTTAATCTAATTTGACGAAAGATATATGTTGACTCGGTAACTTAAAAGGTGTGTAAGTAAATGCTAACAAAGTAAAGCATGCTCTAAATTTTAATTCTTTAATATAATTATTTTCATGTAAAGCTTATTTGAATTTGTTGAGTCAACTTTTTCGTTAAATGAGATTTTCAGCATCAAGATTAAGAAACTAAAAATATACTTTTTAAAATTAAGATACTAAAATAAAATTTGGTATAAACTTATAGTACAAACGTATCTTTTAGCCTTCAATTCCTATGATACCTTAAATTTTAAGATTTCTTAAATATAGTTTACACGGTGTCTCAAAAATACTTATATATTATTATATTATATATCAATTTGTAAGTTAAGCAAATTAGTTTGAACAAAAATAATAAATATAAATATTTTAAAATAATTTAGTAATTTTTTTAAATTTTTTAAATTAGTTAATTAATTCTTATAGTAATTATAATAGGATTTAGCATTTTTTGCTTATGAACTTGCACAAACTAAACGAGTACACTTCAAAACTGACGCGCACGCATCCCTTTCAATCCAACGGCAGACTGTCAAGCTCGCAGTAATTAACCAGAGAACTTAGGTACGAAAAAATCAAAATCAAATGACTGTTCTAAAACCTATTGAAAACAAACTCATATTTTCGCGTGCATTACAAAAACATTGATGGAAGAAAAGATAATATAACTACACTGACATATGGCCTTTATTAATTAGGTAAAAAAAGAAAAAGCACGAATTTAAGGTACTGATGCCATCATCTTGTAATGGATTTTGCATGTATCTAACTAAAGCCTGGGAGATATAAGAACCTGTAATGGGCTTTTCATTACGACCGTGAATTCTTGGACCTCAGACAAATCAACATTATCATTTGCAGCCTTCCACTCGAAATTCCAAATCAGATTGGCCACAAAATACTCCAAATGAAGCATTGCCAGATTATAGCCAGGACACATCCTTCTTCCTACCCCAAATGGCATCATCTTTATCTCTTTCTTCCCTGTAATATCAAACGCTTCACTTCCCTTCCCTTCACTGTTCAAGAACCTTTCAGGCTTGAACTCCATTGGATCTTCCCACACCTTTGGGTCCCATCCCATCTCTGCAACCATGAAATTCACAGTCCCATTCTTGGGCACCAAGTAATCATTCAAAACCACGTCTTCTGAAACTGCGTGTGGCAGCACAAAGTGCCCAGGTGGATGACGCCTTAGTCCCTCCAAGATCACAGCTTTCAGATATGACATTTTGCTCAGATCTTCTTCTTTCACTTCCTGGTCGTCCCTCTCGCCCATGACCTCTCTTATTTCATCCACAAGCCTCTGTTGAATATGAGGGTACTTCACCAAATTTGCCAGAATCCATTGTAAAGCTGTCGCTGTTGTATCTGTGCCTCCATCAAGAAACTCTGAACATGCCGAAACCATTTCAGATTCCTCAAGCTTTCGCTTCTCCTCAGAAAACTCCAAATCCAACAAGGTGTCCACATAACACACTGTGATTTCACCTTCCTTGTTGTTGCTGTCCTCGTTCGATTTGCTTAACCTCTCTTCCTTGGCTTTCTTCCTCGCTCTTATCAGTGGAATTATCACATTTTCTCTGTCCGTGACCATTTGCAGAAGTTCCTCCCAACGTTTGCGGAAAAATATTCGAGTCACTGCTCTTGGCAGGAAATTTAGTGTATTCATCTTAGTGAAGCTCAAAAGCAAACGACGCAGAACATATTCGATATCTTTGATTTGCTTGTCTTCTAACCTCTCACCGAAGCACATGAAAACCAGCAAGCAGAACATAGCATACTGGATATGGTCAATCACTTTAATGGGTTTGCTTGATTCTGAGACAGACCTGAGGCGACTGAGAAGCACGTCCAAAACCCATTTACGCGCACCCGAGAAGGACCTGATCCGGGTCGGATGAGCAATCTCGGATGTGAAGTTGCGACGGAGCACTCGCCATGTTGGGCCATAGAAAGCGGAGCTGATGTTATACTGGTTACTGTTGATGATTTTAGCGGCGGGAAGGGCCTTGGGGCGGTCGGAGAAGACGGCGCCCTTTTGAACGAGGGCTTGGTGGGCGAGAGATCGATCAGCAATGAATACAGCAGGACTAGAACCAATAGGCAGAGTGACCATGGAGCCATACTTGGCGTGAAGACTTCGAAGAATGGGTTCGAGTTCTGAGAATGATTTTCCCAGAAAAACGAAGGAACCGATGAAAGGGATACGAAGAGGACCAGGAGGGAGGGGAGGGGAGGGGGAAGGAAGGAGAAGGTTGAAGAAAGCTCTGAGAAGAAGGCAGAGAGAGATAGAGACGAGGACGACGAACCAAACCTCCATGATGATTTTGAGTGAGAAAAGCTTATGAGAATTAGGAGAATAAGCGGATATATTTCGGAGGGAGAGGTGTGGATGAAGATAAAAAGATGAGGATTCAGGAAAATGAGGTTGAGATGTGTGTGGTGGTGGGTGTTGCAAGGAAGAACGCAACGATACGTGGAAACGACAAAACTTGTGGCTTCATACAGTTCCGTAAATATCTCAAACTTGCTCAACTTTTCTTTTCATTCCCATCTCCAGAATAGGATAGGTTAGAGAGTTAGAGCAAAAATTTTCAAACAAGAGGATCACTATTATCCCCTTCAACACATGCAATGTTATGGATCAAAAAGTCAACTTGTCAACTGATTAAAATACTACATCCTGTTTGATTTTCAATTTGGTTTTAAATGTAAGATCCTAATTCATTTTCACTCTGTTTGGGTCAGCGGTTGAGGACCCAGAAGTAACTTGTTTTCATGGTAAGCCGATTTAAAAAGTTAAAGGCTGTTTGGAAAAGTTTATGGGCCATCAGACTTTGAGACAAAAAACTGGATTTAAACGCACTTAACATTAAGTTGATTTGAGGTAACTTACTCATGTGAAAATTGTGCTTAGGATAGTTGGAATTGTCATATTTTTATTTTTCTCTCACTCCTCCCTCATTATTCTGTCATTATTTCATCCAAACCACTCGGCCTCAGATGCTGAAACTTATTTATGTAAATTTATTTTTTAATCATTTATCATTATTTAATAAAACTTATACTCATTTGGGTGATTTTACAAATTAAACTTACTAATTTAAATTTATTGAATTATGTAAAGTCATTTCTTTATTATTTTTCATTATCTAATAAAATTCATACCCATTTTGATACTTATACAAACTAAACTTAGTCTTATTTAATCATAATCTAAATAACTTTTTACCCAATTTAATTTTTACAAACTAACTTTTATAAAATCTAATCTAAACACAATTCACATAATCCAATTTAATTTTTACTCAATCTAACTTTTCTAAAAGTTAAATTGACAATAAGCTACTTTTCCAATCACTAATCCAAAAGGATCCATTGTCTATCATATTTATCCATTTTTTTCAAAATAGTCTTTATAGTAGTTGCATATATTAAATATTTTATCAACTAACACTTGATAAGCAAAAGTATTTTAGGAAAGACAACACCTATTTATTACAAACAACTAACTTAACTAATTTTTTTAATCTATTCAAATTAGTTAACTAGCTCTTATATCAAAGACGGGATGTAGTAGTATGTGTGTGTATATCTAGCGTATTGGTTAATGTAACTATGTAAGGGCCGGATAATGTAAAATTAAAATATGTATTCGAATATTGTTTTAAAATAAAAAAAGTAAGACAGTGATGAAAAGAGATATATTTACCGAATGAAAATATGTTTGTCCTTGTTTAATTTGATATGATTTTTTAACTTGGTGTGTATGATCTCTGCCTTTGCCTTATGCCTTCATGGTCAGTTATGGCATGCTTAGGGAGGACACCTATCAATCATAGACATGAAGCATGCTGACAAATGGAAACGTAGTAGTATTGGTTGAGGAAGAGGAAATCAAGAATATCAATGATAATTAAAGATTTTGAAAATTTTTTTTAAAGATGATATTTAGTTGGAATTATTTTTGTTTTTGAGTTAATCAGTCTTCATTTTCTATATTTTGAATACTTATTTTTCTCATCCTCAATATTCATTTTGGAATAGTAAATATGTGTGTATATATACTCATCTGGTCTTATTTACAAGTCACTTCCAACATATTCAATATAGACTAAGAAAAACCTTAAACTTCATTAACTTTCATTTAAAATTTAACAACTTTATAACTTTATTCCTATTTAATATACATTATATATTCTATTAGAATAGAATCAACACAATATTAAATAAAGAATAAAATTATATATTCATATAAAAGGTTTCTCTCTTTCTCATAAAAAAATTACTTGTCTCTCTGCCAGAGGAGTATGTATGTAGCGCAATGGTTGGATTGGACTAACCAAACGACAGAGAAAGGACATGCGGGTTGCTGTTGAGTGGCCAACCAAATGAAGATGGACCCCCTACGTCAAACCCACATACGACCATCGGCCGCACATCGTCTTGGTTCTGACAAGTGAATTTAGCTGATGCAGCAAAAAGATAGCTCTAGCGTACTACTATTCTATTATATTATACACCCACTCATGTCATGAATATTTTTTTTCATAAACACATGTTTTTTTTTCATACACAACCATAAAATAAATTTTATATTTAGAATCGAAAGAATATATTGATTTATTTCTAGTTGCCAGATGCACAAACGACTAGCTTTAAACTGAGTATCATATGCCATGAACAAACTTCCCCTGCATTGGCCGCAATTTCTTTCAGAGATTTCAACTCTGTTGATACCAAAATATACCTGTTCAAACAAAACATACATATATCAGATATCAGATATGCTATACAATTACTGAACATGAGGTACTATCCCAGTAATGAGATCATATAATTAGAACCGGAGGTAGTAATTAAGAACAACATTTTTGGCAGCATTTACAGTAACTTTGTCAATAATAATCAGAAGAATGGATTTCATGTTCCTTCTAAAAGCCTTGGAGACAAATAAACCTACAATGGATATTTCATCACTACGGCGAATTACTTGTCGTCTAATCCTTCACTGAAGCACATGGAGAAGGGGGGGAGGAGAACGAGAGGAAAGGAGAAGATTGAAGAAAGCTCTGGTGAGAACCAACAGCAGGATTTTCCCTTTTTTTAATTCATTCTGCTATCTTTAATATAATATAAAAAGTAGTTTACTTAATCTTCAATAAAAAAACTTAACTTTTAATTTAATTCTAAATAAAAATTCTAATCTATTTTGTTTTTTATATTTATTTATTTTTTAAAAATACTTTTATAATAATTGTACATATTAAAAGGATGATTACAAGGACAGAGTCCCACAAATACTTGTAATTATACCTGGTACGGGTCTAAAACCTTGGAGATAAATATACCTGTAATGGATTCTTCATAATGACAGGCAGTTCTTGTTTTTCAGACAAATCAACTTCACTATTTGAAACCTTCCACTCAAAACTCCAAACCAGATTTGCCACAAAGTACTCCCCATGAAGCACTGCCAGAACATCTCCTGGGCACATTCTTCTTCCCACCCCAAATGGCATCATTTTAATCTCTTTCCTTCCAGTAATATCAAACGCTTCACCGTCATTTCTCTCACTACTCAAAAACCTCTCTGGTTTGAATTCTATTGGATCTTCCCGCACCTCTGGATCCAACCCAATCTGAGCCACCATGAAGTTTATAGCCCCATTCTTAGGAATCAGATAGTCGTTGAGAAGAAAATCCTCTGAAACTGCATGTGGCAACACAAAATATCCAGGTGGATGCCGCCTTAGTCCCTCCAAAACTACAGCTTTCAGATATGGCAATCTCATCAAATCTTCCTCTCTCACTTTTGTTTCCTTATTATCTCTCTCACCCACCGCATCTCTTATTTCCTTTCCAAGCCTTTGTTGGATTTTTGGGTACTTCACCAAATTTGCCAGAATCCATTCTAAGGCCGTCGCTGTTGTATCACTTCCTGCAATCAATATTTCAGAACATATAGAAACAAGTTCATCTTCATTAAGCTTTCTTTTCTCATCTGGTAGCTGCAAATCAAACAGTGTATCCACGTATGAAACCACAGCTTCATTGGCTTTGTTCAAAGTTTCCTCCTTTGCTATCTTTCTCGCTCTTATTAATGGAATCAAAACATCTTCTTGTTTCTTCCGAATTTGGTACAGTTCTTCCCAATGCTTATGAAACCATATACGAGTGACACTTGGCCAGAAATTTAGCTTGTTGAAGCCGTGCAAGTTCAACATTAAACGACGCTGAACATCTTCAATCTCCTCGATTTTTTTGTCGTTTGATCCTTCACCGAAGCACATGGACACCAGTAAACAAAACATAGCACGTCGAAGATGGTCAATAACCGTAATGGATTTTCCTGATTCTGAGTCAGATTTGAGGCGATCGAGGAAAGTGGCTAACAACCGTTTACGAGTACCTGAGAAGGATTTGATTCGGGTCGGGTTAAGAAACTCGTGGATGAGGTTACGACGGAGCAAGCGCCAAGTGGGACCGTCGAAACCAGAGCTGATGTTATGTTGGTTACTGTTGAAGATCTTACTGGTGGCGAGGGTGTTGGGGCGGTCGGAGAAGACGGCGGCGTTCTGAATAAGGGCTTGGTGGGCGAGAGATCGATTGGAGATGAATATAGCAGAACGAGAACCGACTGGGAGAGAGATGATGGGGCCATATTTGGCATGAAGATTTCGAAGAATGGGTTCAAGTTCTGAGAATGGTTTGCGCAGAAACCGAAGAGAACCGATGAGAGGAACACGAGGAGGGCCAGGGGGAGAGGAGGGGAGTGAGAGGGAAAGAAAATTGAAGAAAACTCTAAGGAAAAGACAGAGACAGAGGGAGAAGACGACGATGAGCCAAAACTCCATGATCGAGAAGTGAGAAGAGCTCGTGAAATTTCGAGAGAAAATATAGAGGGAAAAGATCAGAAACAGTGGTGGATTGAAGGTCGATGATTTTCAGATAACGTTTGGACAGCCGACGGCCGAATATTCTATTGATTCGAAAGGTCAGTGTTTTTGTTTGTTTCTCTAAATTCCTTTTCGTTGAGATCTGAGATGCTCCGATCGTTGAAAGGACCATGAATTGTCTGTGATATGGGTACCGGACTGGCTCAGCTTCAAAGCAAGTTAATTACGGCGGCAAATGTCGTACGTGTTCATTTGGGTCCAAGCATGCGTAGATTGTTAATTTATTAAAATTTTTACTTTATTTTGCCTTTTCAACCTTGCATGATTCGATATTAATATTGTTATGTTAAATTGTTTTTCAACGTTCTCAAATCAGAGATCCGATGCTTAGTCATATATCACTTTTCTTTTTTGGTAGTAAGAAGTTTAGGTGAGTTGGGTCCCAAGAGCTCATCAAAATTAGGGCATGCTTCCAGGCTCAGAAAGCGCTTATAGAGGTACTTACAGATCGTCTACCAACAAGATCAACGTATCGGTAGTGGGATTTAAACTCACGACCTTGTAGGTTATGAGCTGACTCTTTAACAACTGGACTAACTTTTATTTGTTAGTCATATATCACTTTAATTCGTATTTGTTATTTATAAAAAAAAGATTTTAGTCCTTTTTATTTCTTATTAGTATTCTTTTTAATACTTTATTCTCAATTTTATCCTTATTAATTATAGTAAAAGTGAAGAGAGAGTGAATGGGTAAAATAAAGGGGAAATTGCAAAAAAAGACCTTGGAATTGTAAAAACGCAGATAGGGACCCTTGACAACTTCACTTGGGTTTTGACAAGAATAATAGGCCCTGAAGTTGTCAAAACCCAAAGTGAAGTTGTCAAGGGTCCCTATCTGCGTTTTTGCAATTCCAAGGTCTTTTTTTACAATTTTCCCTAAAATAAAAGTATATTAGTATTTAATACTCTCCATGATAGGGGTAAAAGTAGAAGATTCAATCTATTTGATAATATTATTGGCATGTGAAAAACTACTACAAATGACAAATAATAAGAACCAGGGTAGTATAAGCTTTTTGTAATTTTTATGCTATTATTTTTTAATGTCTATATATATATATCATATTATTGACTATTATATGAAAACATCATTTACAATATAAGTGGATTCGTAAATTTTAAAAAATCTCAATAGGAGAGAAAATATTTTCTAAGAAAACGTTTGTCATCAGGTAAATATTCTTCTATCATAATAAATTATTGAATATGAGATCCAATAACTGCCAACCAAATTTGGACAAAATTTGTCATCATATTAAAGAAAAATGAGTCCTTAAGCGAGATTTTTAATTTTGCAATAAATTCAGAAATCTAGTTGTTGACAAAACACAGTGTCATACTACGCAAGTTTAAACCTTTTTTTTTTTAAGTGAAAGACGCAAGTTTAAATTTTAACTTTTAAATTAAGTAACGATTAACGTCATGAGCTACCACTACTCCACTAGGTTCCTTTTGTTGACTGAGAGGCCGCTGCTCCAATTTGCTAGCACTGCTCAAATATGCTCTTTTTTTTTTCCGTCTGCAGCAAAAACAAATATAATTCTTTTTATAGGAATAAACAAGTATATATCAGAAAATTACAAACCAGAAAATAATACTCTTCCACTTCTAAATATAAAACTCATTTTGTAGTGTAAATAATTTATAAAATGAGTCTTATATTTAAAATCGGAAGAGTAATATAATTATGTGTATCATGTGGTGGGATTGGCAAGATCTTATTAAAGCTGAAGAAGCTGGAAACAACCATCTTAGTAATTACTCAGAAATTTTCTGGTAGGTAGCTACCAAACTGAGTAAATTTATTTAACACTATACGCTAGTTGTAAGTCATATTACAAACCTCATGCTAAACAATCAAATGTCCTAAAACTTTGATAATCATACTTGTCTGTGCAGGGTTAAAACCTTGGAGATATCTGAACTTGTAATGGAGTCTTCATTACCACAGTGAATTCTTGTTTCTCAGATAAATCTACACCACCATCATCACTATTTGAGACCTTCCACTGAAAATTCCAAACCAGATTAGCCACAAAGTACTCCAAATGAAACATGGCCAGATTATAAGCCGGGCACATCCTTCTCCCAGCTCCAAACGGCATCATCTTTATCTCTTTGCTTCCTGTAATATCAAATGTTTCATAATTATTCTCACTATTCAAGAATCTCTCTGGCCTGAACTCCATTGGCTTCTCCCACACCTTTGGGTCCCTTCCCATCTCTGCTAACAAAACGTTTATAATTCCATTTTTAGGTATCAAATAATCATTCAACACTACATCCTCTGTTACTGCATGTGGGATCACAAAATGTGCGGGTGGATGGATCCTTAGTCCCTCCAAAATCACAGCTTTAAGATATGATAATTTGTTCAGATCCTCCTCTTTCAATTCCTTCCCCTTTCTTTCACCAATCACATCTCTGATTTCCTCCACAAGCCTCTCTTGTATATGCGGATGCTTCACCAGATTTGCCATAATCCAATGCAATGTCGTCGCCGTTGAATCTATCCCTCCACTTAGAAACTCAGAACTTATGGCTACAATTTCAGATTCTTCAAGCTTGCGTTTCTCCACAGGCCACTCCAATTCCAGCAAAGTATCAACATAAGGCACGGCAAGTTCCTCTGAGCTTTTCACTCTGTTCATTCTCTCTTCTTTGGCTTTCTTCCTCGCTCTGATCAGTGGGGTGAAAAGATTTTCCCGTTCCTTCTTAGTCTGCAACATTTCCTGCCACCTCTTGAAAAACAATATGCTCGTTAGTCTTGGCCAGAAATCCAGCACCCTGAATCTGTTAAAGCTCATAATTACACGGCGTTGAACATCGTCGATGTCTTTGATTTGTTCCTCATCTAGCTTTTCACCGAAGCACATGAAACCCATCAAGCAGAACATAGTGTATTGAAGATGGTCAATCAACTTGATAGAATTGCTTGATCCAGCATCAGACTTGAGCCGATTGATGAGAATGTCCAGGACCCATTTACGAGAACCTGAAAAGGATTTAATCCGGGTCGGATGAAGCATCTCGGAGGTGAGGTTGCGGCGGAGGGCGCGCCATGTGGGGCCGTAGAAGGCGGAGTTAATGTCATGCTGGTCACAACTGAAAACCTTAGTAGCGATAGCTGGCCCAGGGCGGTCGGAGAAAATGGCGCCGTTTTGAACAAGGGCTTGTTGGGCGAGAGAATGATCAGCGATATATATAAGTGGACGAGACGTAACAGGAAGAGTGAAGATGGGACCGTATCTGGCACGAAGATCTCGGAGTAAAGATTCAATTTCTAAGATTGATCTGCGAAGAAAAAGAAGATTGGTGACGATGGGAATACGAGGAGGGCCAGGTGGTAGCAGAAGAGTGGGGCGAGAGGAAGAAAGAAGATTGAAGAAAGCTCGAATGGTTAGGCAGAGACAGAGAGAGACGAGGAGGACGAACCAGACTTCCATGGTTAGGAATGAAGAAGGTGATGGAAGTGGGATAACCACAGTGACGTTATCCAGACAGGCAGGAACACAGAAAAAGTTGTCCAACTTTGAATCTTTACGTGACCTCCAAGCTATCGATTAAATATATTACTCTGTTTCTTCCGAGAATTTTCTCTTAAAGGGAAATTACAGGTAAGGACCCCACTAGCACTATATTCGCATGGGAGAGTTCCTAATTTGAGAGAGTTTTATTATGGGAGAATTACATTTAAGTCCCACACAAGAGAAATAATCACTACAAAATCCCAAATAACAACCTGAGCAACCTGAAATAACAAGTCCGAGAATGACAACCTCTGAAATTTGTTTTTTAATTACTTAGGACCTCATTGTAATTCTCCCTTTTATTATTTGAGCTTTACAACTAAATTCCTATATATAATTTACATTTCCAACTAAATACCAAGCTAGTAAAAGCCAGCATACTAATTTTTTTTTTTCCCCAACTCAGGATCTTGGGTGTAAATACGTTTTCACCGTGGTTCCTGAATGTGATTTTCCTTTCACAACTAGTATCTCTACCTTTATGTGCTTAGCCCTATTTATAATTAATACTCATCCGTTATTTAATGCAAGATCTATATAATTAATCTGATTAGATTAAAAAATAGGTAAGTTAATTAATTATAAAAAATATAATTTTTTTCCTAAAACATCGCAATTATCTTCCTTAATATCCTCCTATTCTCCTTTACTTGATTATCGTTAAAGGAGTATTAATAGGAGTAATTTAGAAAAAAATGATACATATAAAAAATATGTCTTATATTTAGAACCAAGATCAACTCAACAATTAAGTTATATATTAAGGACTAGAGGAGTATTTGCAAAACGTCTCAACTTTTCTTGATTAATTTTGTGTTTTTCTCTCATTATTCACTTATTATAATACTCAATATGTTTAGGCTAAATTATATATTTGATATTTTCACTTTGTATAATATTTTAATTTGGTCACTTTATTTTTAAAAGTACATTTTTGGTCATCTACCTCTAAAATCATTAGGTCTAAATAATGTTTCTTTGTAACAATTATAAGTGTTTTGAGAATTAAACTTAATATGCTGGCATTTAAGAAAGTTTTATTAAAAATAATATCTCAATACCATCATTTTTTGTTAAAAATTTTAGGGTTAAAGAATTAAAAGTGTACTTTCTAAAATTAAAAAAAAACTAAATTGAAACATTGTACAAAGTTAAACGACTAAATACATATTTTAACGATATATTTATTATATCATTTTCTGAAGTATTATTCATGTTATTTTTATAATTTCCTTATACTTTTTCTCTCCTAAATTTAAGAAAAACTTAAAAATTTTTGTATATTTTTCTTCTTTAACTAATTTGAACTTACTTTTTGATCGATTCACGTCTTAAATCTCTCCCTTAAAAAGAGACATAGCGGGTA